TTCCTCCGGTGGGCAGCGGTAGTGACCGACCTGGCGCTGTGCCCGCTCTAGGTGCCACCTCACCGGCGCGTTGGCGACAGCCTGCGGCGACGACGCCATCCGGGTCTTCGAGGAGAGCGCGTCCTCCGACCCACAGCAGCCCACCTTCAGCCTCGCCGCCCACGTCCCCCGGGCGCACTCGCAGGACGTCAACTGCGTGGCCTGGAACCCGAAGGAGCCGGGCTTGCTTGCTTCCTGCAGCGACGACGGCGAGATCGCCTTCTGGAAGTACCAGCGCCCCGAAGTTTGTTGAGAGTTTCAATCCTCTCTGTAATCCTCCCCACCCAGCAGAAGGACCCTTCGGCACTGCCACCGGCACGCAGCCCCGCGCCGGTACAGAGAACAGGGCAGGGAAGACGGTGACAGACCTCCTCCGCCCCATGAGTTGGGACTTTTTGCATGCCGAAAGTGGCCTCCCTGGGGACGCACAGGGGAGTGCGACACCTCTGCCGGGATGCGGCCGGCTTTGGGAGACAGGACAGGACTCGCTCCCCTCTCCTTCTGCCCCACGCTCAATAAATCTGTGCTCTCCTTGGTCAAAGCCTCTGGCTCTTCCTTGTGCCCGTCGCCCTTGGGGTGAGTGGAACAGGGGGCAGGTGCTCCCCTGGGAGCTGGAGGTGGCGGCGCAGGAGGACAGACCCACAGGGGAGCTGGTTTTATGCCTCACTGTGAAGCACAGCCCGAGGAGAAGCATTTAGGTCCGCTCCTGAGGGCTGGCGCCAGCATAGTGGTTCTAGAAAAGGCTACTAAGCCAACTCTGCCTTAATTAGTTCTGCTAATGAGCTTTTGCGAGCCCCACAGAGCTACTCGGTGAGTTGGGGGACAGCCTGGGGGTCAAAGTGATGGCGATGATGCCTGTTTTCTTCCCCCCTTTCCCTCCCACACCCAACAGCACAGAGGGCAAGAAGGGTCTCGTGATTTATTCCAGCTGCCGCACTCGCGCAGCTCCAGTCTAAAAAAACACTGTACAAAGCATCAACACCTTGAAAAAAAAAAAACACCAAAACCAAAATACATGGAATCCAGACAAAGGGAAACGACGTAAGCGCTACCACGGCTGGGGTTTGGTGGCTGAACTACGGGGGGATCCTTGCCGGGACCGTCACAGCCCCGCATCAGTCGGAGTCACTGTCGCTTTCCGCCTCCTTCACGTCCACACTGAATTTGTACTCCTGGTCACAGCCCATGTAGGCGTCGCTCATGAAATACAGCGTGTAATTGTGTGTCCCTGTGGCCGGGGCCACGAAATCCAGCTTCACCTACACGGTGAGGAAGAGCCGACGTTAGGGTGGCGGAAGACAGACCGGGAACCCATCCGGCTCGCCCAAACCGCGTCCGTTTGAGTGCTGGCCACCCCCCTGCCCGATCCCGCTCACCTTGGCTTTCTGCTGCAGCGTCAACCGCTTGATGGAGATGAGGCTGTTGGATTTGGAGTCACCGATCACCACCCACCAACCCTCCTCGCGTTTCTGCCGGAGAAGTAAAGAGTTAACAGGCTGGAAGCAGTGGGGGACAGTCCCCTTCCATTTCTGCCACCTCAGTGTCACCAGGTTCAGCACCTACCTGGGGGAAAAGGGGAGCGATGACAGGCCCGGTGACCTCTTCTTCACGCTCCAGCTGCACCAGCACCACCACGGGGCCCCCACTGGCAGAGAGAACCGAGACCGAGGGTCAGGGCATCCCCCCGGCACCGGCACAGTGCCGAGGGGACCACGCCAGCCCTCCCCGCCTCACCTGCGGATGCTCTCCTTCTCCACCACCTCGTAGGAGAGCTCGATGTTGGGGTAACGGTTACAGAATCGAGCGACGTCGGCGATCTGAGCATCTGAGAGCTGCAGCAGGGCGTTCCGGTCCTCATCCTCCATCTCCATGATGTCGAAGACACTTTCCACCCCCTGCGAGGAAGAACGTTTTCAGCCCCGTGCTGACCCGGGGTTCCTCGGTGGGCGAGGGCAGAACTGCGGCGCTTCCTCCCTAAGCTTTACCTTGTCTGTGCAGCGCTTGATGTGCTCCGAGGTGAAGTGGGGCAGCTGCTTGAGGTAGGAATCCTTCGACCACATGGCCTGCGTCACCATCTGCGCCAGCTCCATGGCGGCCAGCGCGGGGCTGAGCCAGCAGCTGCTGGAAAGCACGTCCACGCAGGCCTGGATCAGCCGGATCGCCTGGACAGGAAGGGACGGGGACAGGTCAGAAGGCAGAGACGCAAAGCAGTGACACAAAGCGAGGCGGGCAGGTTCTCACCCGCCCCGTCGTACCTTGCTGAGGATTTCCTCGGTGTCCGACTGCAGCTCGGCGCTCAGCTGCATGCGCGACAAGTGAGCCTGCAGCAGGAGGTTGGTCTTGACGTGGGGATCGTTGAATTTGGGGTTGGTCAGCTTGTGGGGAACTTTTTGGGCCAGCTACGGCGAGAAATGATAAACCCATCGGCGCTTTAGTCGAAAACCACAGGCAGCTTCCTTTCCCCGACCCTGCAGGAACCCACATCCGGCCCCAAATGTGGCACGCTGCCGCTCACCTGCCGCAGCAAATTGTCCTCATGGTGCCTGATGGGGATGTTCTCGTACTCGGCAGCGTTGGAGATGATTTCAATCAGCCCTCGCACCTTGGTCTTGGCGTTGAGGGACATGCTGAAGAGCTCTGGGGAAGGTGGAGAGGTAGAAGGGTCAGGGAAAACCAGGCAACATTGAACCCCATGGTACAAGAGATGCCTTCAGGCAGACAGGACGCAGCCTCGTGCTAAAGGATGGAGCTTTACACACCCAACCACGCACACGGCACCTTCTCTCCATCGCCTGCGGCACAGGGAGCGATGCAGAGAGGGGATAGAGAGCAGGAGCACCGGTGAGCGCGTGTGTGCGGTACCCGTTCCTCGTGGAGCCCTTACCGATGGTGGTGTAGTTGATGTAGTAGTAGGCAGCGATCATCCCCAAGTTCAGAGGAGCCACGTCCATCTCGTCCTCAATGCTGATGCACTTGGACTGCTCCAGGTCGCTGAGGGTCTGTTCCACCAGCTCGGAGAGATGATCCGAGAGATGCCTGTGGGACACACCTGCGGGTACAGCAGCGTTGCGGTGGGGCTCAGCAACTCCCCAGGACAGAGAAAAGCTGCTCTTGCAAAAGCAGAGCCCACGGGCAGAGGGTCCCTAATATCCTTCAACCCCGTATCCGCCAGCGCAGACCCCCTCCACTCACCTTGCAGGTTGTAGTAGTTTGGATTCTGCGTCATCCTGCGATACAGGAATGTCCAAGTGAGGTAGTCCACCGCATCCTGCTTGTTTTCGATGGTCTTGGTGACAATCTCAGCATTGAAATGATCGTGCATGCAGTGGTCCAAGTGCGATTCCACCGGCAGGGGCTCGTAGAGGAATTTCTTGAAGAAATCCTGCAGCGGGGCAGGAGTAGAGAGAAGGGGTAAATAAACCCCAGCACCTCCAAAATCCTGGAGCGCCTCCCAGGCAGCGGGGCTCCGAGTGGGGGTTATACATCTGCCAGCCCAAAGCTGGGAGAAGAAATCCACACCCCAGGCAGGAGACAGGACATTCGCAGGCGAGAAACGGTGCCCCGCTCCTCACCCACCTTCTTGGATCCCTGACACATGATAACACAACGGCCCTCGTCGTCCTGCAGCGGGCGATTAGCATGGCCCACCATCTGCAGCACGTCGTAGATGGGATAATCCACGTACCTGGGACACGGAGAGAGTGTGTTAACAAAGTTTCAAGGAAAGCTACCACCGCTCTCCAGTATTTCCCAGCCTCTACCCGGACAGAGACAAAGCCCTTTGGGATTAGGGACTCATTTCCCTCGCGCTCAGCGCAGCCTGAACTAGCAGGGTGGACACGGAGGGAAGCCACGGCCGCAGCGCAACACACTCACGCGTGGATCTTGCCATTGTAGTACTGCGTGTCCATGATGATCACCAGGTGAGCGGCGATGTTCATACCCCAGCAGAGGCTGCGGGAGGCAACCATCACCTGAACTGCACCTGAAACACAGAATCACGGAATTTTCAGAGTTGGAAGGGACCTCTAGAGATCATCTAGTCCCACTCCCCTGCTAAAGCAGGATTGCCTGAAGCACGTTACTCAGGACTGCATCTGGGCAGGTCTTGAAAACCTCCAGAGAAGGGGATTCCCCCCCCTCCCCGGGCAGCCTGTGCCACTGCTCTGTCACCCCAACCATAAAGAAGTTTTTCCGTGTGTTGGAACGGAACTTCCTCTGTTCCAACTTGTGCCCATTGCCCCTCGTCCTGTCACTGGGAACCACCGAGAAGAGTCTGGCTCCATCCTCCTTCAACCCACCCTTTAGATACTTGTAAGCAACAATAAGGTCTCCCCTCAGCCCTCTCTTCTCCAGGCTGAAGAGTCCCAGCGCTCTCGGCCTTTCCTCATACGGGAGATGCTCCAATCCCTCAATCATCCTGGTTGCCCTTCGCTGGACTCCCTCCAGCAGTTCCCTGTCCCTCTTGAACTGGGGAGCCCAAAACTGGACACAGTATTCCAGTTGTGGCCTCACCAGTGCCGAGCAGAGGGGGAGAATGACCTCCCTCGACCTACTGGTCACACTCTTCCCTATGCAGCCCAGGATGCCATTGGCCTTTTTGGCGACAAGGGCACACTGCTGGCTCATGGATAATTTACTGTCTACCAGGACCCCCAGATCCTTCTCCTCAGAACTACTTCCCAGCAGGTCCACCCCCAACCTATACTGGTGCTTAGCACTCTTCCTCCCCGGGTGCAGGACCCTGCACTTGCTCTTGTTGAACCTCATGAGGTTCCTCCCTGCCCAGCTCTCCAGCCTGGCCAGGTCCCGCTGGATGGCAGCGCGGCCCTCTGGAGAGTCGGCCACCCCTCCCCGTTTGGTATCATCGTTGAACTTGTTGAGGATACACTCTGTCCCATCACCCAGGTCACTGATGAATATATTGAACAAGACTGGACTGAGTATTGACCCCTGGGGGACACCGCTGCCTACAGGCCTCCAACTTGGCACTGCTCCTTTAACACGCGTGGGGAGAGCAGTCAGCCCGCAGGCAGAGCAACTCTCTGGGTCACAGGAACTCGAGGGGAGAAAGATCTGGGGGTTCTGGACTGCCAAGCTCCAAGGAATAGGGTTTACAGGTAGATAAAGTGGGGTGTCCCCATCCCGCCCCGCTCACCGGAGCTGAACAGCTGCTCCACCACTCGCCGTTCCATGGCGGTCAGCCCCTCGTGCAGGTAGCCCACCCCGTTCACGAGCGTCTCCTTCAGCGTGTTGTCGTTCAGTTTGTCCAGGTACGGTACCAGATCCTTCTCTGCGCAGTGCAGGAACCTGCCGGAGAGAGGGGGGGTAAAGAGACCGCTGACATGTCCAGGACGCTTGTCTCTCTTTGATGTCACATCAAAGAGACCATTTCCCATCACTATTTGTCCCTCAAGCCCAGCAAAACAGACGAAAAACTTGTCCCTGCCTCAGTCAGAGGAGGGACAGAGGCCACAGCACCGTTACCTTTGCCTCTGGACATCCGAGGCACAGGTGGTGAGGATGTTGATGGCCGTGAGCCGCGTCTGCTTGCGGGATGGGACAAAGACGATGACCGGCTTTTTGGGCGAGTGCTTCATGATGGCATGGTAGACAGGCTTGGCCATGGAGAGCAGACGAGTCTGCGTGTGGCTGATGTTGAAGCCCTGCAGGGGAAGAGGAGCAGGCATTGACGCCATCTGGAGACCAGAGAGAAGGAAAAGGAGATGAGGTTGCCCAAACCTTACCTGAATGTGCAGCTCCAGGGGCACGGGGCGGACGTTGGGGTGGAAGTTGAAGGTGGAGGTGGCGCTGCAGCCCAGCCAGTGAGCCACGTCCTTGGCGTTGGACAGGGATGAGCTGAGGGCCACGATGCGGATGGGTCGCTCGATTTGGGAGGAGATGTAACGCATGCGGGAGCAGATGACCTCCAGCACCGGCTGCAGGAGGGAGAAGAAAGGTTGTAGCAGGAACAGGAGGGGAAGGCCGAGCTCACTGCACCGCGGCCGCCTCTCCTGGCAGAGCTCCGGCCAACTTCAGCCCGAGCACCCTCACCCGGGGAGACCCCAGGAGGTACCGCTCCTGAGCTTCCCAAAGGATATTGCCCTCCTATCCCAGCCCACCTTGCAGCTTGGGGAAACTCCCGGCAGGAAAAGCTGACCAGACATTAGGAATGAGCAACCATCCACCCCAAACTGTCTCTACCACTGAGACTAAAACGATGACGAGCATCACTCAAATTTGTAGCCCCCCTCCTCCCCTGCCAGACGCACCCCATTTTCACCCCCGATGAGATGCACTTCGTCCACGATGAAGAGGTTGACGTTCTGCACGTTCTTGCGTTGCTTCCAGCGTCGCGAGAGGATGTCCCATTTCTCAGGGGTGCTGATGATGATGTTCCCTTTACCCAGCAGCTTCAGGTCGGTGCTGGTCTCCCCCGTCAGCAGGACCACTTTCTTATTGAGCCGCTCCTGGAACTTTTCGTACCAATCTAAGAAGACCTACCAAAAATGCAAGGGATGCTCTTGTTAACCTCAAATTAGAACAAATCCTACCAAATTCCTGGAGACACGCATGCACACATCGAAGTCAGCATGTCAGCTGTGGGACAGTGTCTCTTTGCTCCCTCAGAGAGACCACAATGAATCAAAAGACTCTGGAGTCATCCTGGCGGATGTGACAGCGAAGAAGGGATGAGGAAAAGTGAAACGGGGGATGAGGAAGCAAATCTAAGCTGGGGTAAGGTCCAGTTCTCCGCAGGATGCCGGGCTTACCTGCTCTGCCAGGGCCTCCATGGGGGTGATGTACACACAACGTCCCTCCGAGTTCTGGAGCAACATCCTCAGGATGGCAAATTCAGCACAAATGGTCTTTCCGCTTCCCGTGGGGGCGCCCACAAACACGTTGTCGTCGCTGTTATAAACCGTGTTAAACACTGGGGACAGACGGACATCACAGAAGAGAGCAGTTTAGCAAAATCTCCACGGATTTCTATCAAAGCTGTAGAAACGGGCAGGGAAAACACAGCCTGCACAAGGAGGAGCTACAGAAAAAGGCTGTTTAAGAGTTTTAGTCCAGGATCCACTGAGCAAAACAGGTTCTAGTCTGTCAAAGTAGCTCGTAAGTGTGAATTCCCTATTCTGGCTAAGCCCAGGCAGAGAAACACGGACAGGGCAGCTTTGATTCACTCACAACTCCATCCCTACAAGCAGAAGAGATAGAAAAGTTTGGTTCCAGCCGGCTCTGTGAACCTGAGCCGCGGTGTAAGCACAGACACAGCTTGCAGGAGCAAACCCGCTGCTGTCGGACAGCCCCGGACTAGCTGCTTGATGTACTTGAGGAATATATCAGATATTTGGGCCCATAGCAAAAGATTTCAAACCTCTAAGGCTCAGGAAGGTAGAGGGGATATGTCATGTGAGGAACTTCTGCAGCAAATTGTGTGAATAAACCCCACCCCAAAAAACCCAAGGCTATGGGACTGTGAATACCAAAAGGGCCAGGGCTCACTGAGAGGCAGTTTGGAGGAGGCGAGCAGAGGCGATACCCACCCTGAGTCTGGATCGGGTTGAAGAAAGGGAACTTGTCCTGGTAGAGGCTCTCGAAGGCGCTGTTTCGCAGAGCTGACACGGGCAGCGGTTGCAGATCCAGCAGCTCGGTTGGCGGAGGATACTTCTCAGGGAGGATCAGGTGGCGGAAGGAAACCGGCAGCTGGGTCTCACAGGCTGTCAGACATAAAAAAAACCATTTTCATCTCCAAAAGCCCTCCAATGGTTTAATTTCTGAGTTCCTTCTGCCAACAGGATCCCCAGCCTTGCTGTCACTTGGAAGTCAGAAGTCTTTCCCCCAGCACAGCACCAGGAGAGGACCTGAACTACCCCCTCGGTCCCCAGAGAGAACTGCTGCTGTAAAACCAGGGTGCTCCTGGCAGGATGAGACTTACAGAGCCAGCGGTCGGAGACCACCCGGATGAAGTACTGCGGGGGCAGCGGCTCGCACACCGGCACGAAGAAAGGGACGAGG